GTGAGAGACATGCCATATCCAAAACGTACAAAATATAGTGATAATATTTTACTATAAATGGGATATAGGAATGAATTTTCTTTTCTTTTTTTTTTAAAATAGATCATGAGATTTTTGTGACAATAAAGCATGTCAGTAAGATCATAAAATAAAAAAACCTTCTTTATAGTAACTTAAGCCTTGTGCACAGTTAACGTAAGACATCAACAATGAAAAGGAGGGAGTACTTGGTTCGAGTTGTCTCTTAATATAGTGCGTATTTTCTTTGAATAATTATGTTTCTCAACTCATAAGTCATAAGAATAACAAAAAAAAATAATAATAGATTCACAATCTACTTTAATTTCAAATTGGATTAAACAAATGGAGGAAATCCCAAACCTCCAATTGATTAGTGGAAGTGGCTATCACGACCAATAAAACGATATAAAATATTCCAAGTATACCCAGATGGGCAGCAGAATTAGGCAGTTTTTAGAACCCAAAAAAGGAAATAAATCAAATTCCTATGCGATATTCATGTTAAGTTTAAACTAGGGGTGACAATGGGCGGGTTGGACTGAATTTGGGCGGGTCAAGATGGATTAGGTCAATAAATAGGTCATTGCCCAACCCAACCAAAGTGTACTTGGGCTAAGATGGGTGGGCTAAACAATGGGTCATAGCCCAACCCCCCAACTTGACCCATGTTTTACAATCATGCTCATCTTGCATAAACAAAAGGAATTTTTACCTCCTATAGCAAAGGTTGATACCTTATTTATTTTAAATAAATACCCTTTTAAAAATTATATTCTATAGCTACCTTTTGATTTTTATAGCCAAATATCTATTTATGGTCACTTCCTACCCTTAAGCCATAAAATACGCTTTGTATTATTTTTCTCTCTCATTCTTTCAGATTTTTCTCCACCCTCTCTCTCTCTCTCAACGCCTGTCTTTCTCCATGAATACAACCATGATTCTCCACTGATTCATCTCCATTGTCGAACGAAATTTTCATTGTCAGTGGCCTGGGGCTCTAAATCAATGTCGAAATCAAGCCCTAGAGAGAAAGGTGGAGGTTCGAAATCTGCTATTGAAAAGTAAATTGGGGCTGACAATGAAAATTTAGCAGATTGTGCAATGGGCTTTGGTAAAGGGACCACCGTCGGCAAAGCCGACCAATTCTACGTCGTCACCGACTCTTCCGACGACAGCAGCAACCCTAAGCCGGGAATCCTCCGTCACGCTGTCATTCAAAAGGAGCCATTGTGGATTTGTTTTTCAAAAAGCATGACCATTAGATTACATCAGGAGTAATCTTTGAAAGGAATTTTTTGGTTACATTGGGGCTGACAATGGAGGTTCGAAATCTGCTATCGACGAGACAATATTAGGGTTATTCTTGAACAAGATGACGGAGTTTGGGGCTGAGCAACTTGAAGAGTCTGTTACCTTTTTTTCATTGTATTTCAATGTATCTCGTTGTATTCTATGTATTTCATTATATTCATTGTCTTTTTTTTCATTGTATTTTAATGTATCCCGCTGTATTTTATGTATTTTATTGTATTCACTGTCTCGCTATATGCCGTGAATGTATTCATATGTTTTTTTTAATTAATATAATTTATGTATTCATAAGTATTATATAATTTCTCTGAAGATTGCTATGTTTTTGGGGTATTTTTCGGTTGAGAATCTGTTTTATAACTTGAAATACAAAATTTGTGTGTTATAATTGAGTTTGTTGAGTTATATTAGGAGTCTATTATGTTAATTGATTCACTTTTCGTATAAAAACAGTGTAATCCCCTATTTCACGCCGTGAATACAGTCAAATACAATAATCTGTCCAGCTGTAATCCCATGTTTCACTCCATGAATACAGTCGAATACACTCGAATACGACAACTGATTAGCTGGACTTCCCTGATTCACGCCTATTTTTGCTACTGTATTCATGAATACAATAGCTTAAATACATCAAATACATCTTATAACCACATAAAAGGTATCTATAATCCGTAATATAGCAAATGGTATCTGTAGATGGCTAATTACTATTAAAAGATAGTGCTTTATGAAAATTTCTCTAAACAAAACTTTTTACCTTTTAAACATAGGATGCACAAAAGATAAATAAATACTATTAATAAATTGAGAATCAAAATATATTTTCTTAAATAACAAATTAGTATTTAAAATGTGTAATTAATTTTTTTTTTGCGGGTTGGGGGTGGGAGTGGTTGCGGTGGGCGAGTGGTGCAGAAAAATGAAAAAACAGAAAAACGAAAATTGAAAATAAAGAAAAAAGAGGAAAAAGTTTTTTTGCGAGGGGTGGGTGGAGTGGGGTGGGTGGTGAAGAAAAACGAAAAAACAGAAACGGATATGCCATAAGAAGCAACTTCGTGCAGCTGCTGCACCCTTGCTTCTTGTTTTAGAAAGATTGCTCGTTAGCTAGGCCGTTTCCAATAAGGCTTGCGCTAGGCGCTCACCTTTTTTTGGCTATGTGGTATCGTATCTTGCTAGTAATGGATCGATTCTTGAATCTTGCTTGGTTTAGGCAGGTAAGTAAAAAAAAAATTGAGGGGGTGTGCGGGGAGAAAAACAAAAACGCAGAAAATTGAAAATACAAAAAAAAAAAAGTTAAATTGGGGCAACTAAGTAAATTTCTAGATAAATTGGGTTGAGATCCCTTTGTTTTGAGTGAGCTTCATGGGTTGTATTTGGGCTACTTCTTGGGTCAGAATGAGCTATAAAAAATAATGGGTAACTTATGCGTAAAAATTGCACGGGGCGCCCTATTTGATCGCTCCATTTAACCTATACCCATTTTTTTAAAAACTTTTAACTTGTACCCACTTTTTAAACAACTTCAGCTCCCTTTCTCCTCCCCCTTCTCCTCCTTCATTTTTTTTTTCTTCTTCTACAGAGTTGCGGACTATAAATATTACAAACAAAATCGACCTTAGAGCTAGCCTGCCTATTATATTACTCTCCGACAGGGATAAATGCAGTGCATAATATATGATACATGCCAGTGGGTTCGCACCTTTTTTTTTCTTCCAATTGTTTGTATAGCTGAGTAAAACAAAGGAACAATGCAGACATTTATACAGATTTTGCAAAAATGTCGTAATTCAAGTTGTAATGAATTCCTATTAACGCTAAACATCTCATCTGCCTCTATTTCAATAGTCTAACAAAGTAAATGCAGAACAATCATGAGATCAAAAATTCTACACGAAAGTGATTGTTGGTTTTTCAAGTCTGAATACATCGAATGGTGCACCTTAAGGGGTTACAAAGACAAGAACTTCAGCTCTAGAGCTGAAGTTTCCCAGTTACAACACAAAAACTTCAGCTCTAGAGCTGAAGATTCCAGTTACAACACAAAAACTTCAGCTCTAGTGCTGAACTTCAGGCCCGGCTACTAGAATGCTGAAGTTTTGCGTGATTGCCTTTGCTACTTCAGCCCCGTGTGCTGAAGTTATGCGAAAAAGCGGGTACGTTTGCAATTTTTTTTGCAAAGCGGGCACAAGTTAAAATGTGACACAAAAAGCGGGTATAGATGCAAATGCCCCAACTTATGCTCAGCCCAAATAGACCCATGAGCTAAATGTTTGTAGCCCAACCCATTAATCTCTGGACGGATTGGGCTCAAATTACCACCCCTAGTTTAAACATATAGTCGAATTTCATCTATTTTGTAGTTATTTTGATAAATATTGTAATTAATATACTCTCGTAGGTTAAAAATCATCAAAAATCTTTCAGAGAAAATCTGCAAATTTACTCTAAATAGCTAGCTTATCATAGCCGTACTAGCTAAGATATATCGAAAATGGCCTCTCTACCATCACATTATCCTTCTCGGACTCCACTAAAAAGATATTTACCGGGTATATGTTGTTGTTGTTGTTGCTGCTGCTGTCGTCGTAGCGGAACCCCCCTAATTATTCAATTATCCACGAGATTGTCAGAAAATAAAATAAATAAGTAGAAGGAAAATAACAAAAACTAGTAATGCGTCATCTAGCTTTTCATTTTCATCCTTCCGCTTTTATGGAAAGAGAGAAAAATCACACAAGTTTTAAAAATATAAAATTGAGCGCCGCCAGATAATCACAACAGAGGACAATAAATAAATAAATAAATGAAATAAATAATGTATTCCCAATAGTCATGAACTCATGATGATGATGAAGAAGTTAGGCAGGCTAACATGTAACACATTCATAGTACATAGCCCCTTCTCTATTTTTTCACGTTTCTATAGGAAATTGTTTAGAGTAAATGAATTCACATAATTTACGAAGATTTTATATGTTTTATTTATACTAGGAAAATTTATGTACATAATTAAGCAAACAAATAAGTCTACTCAAAGAGGTAATAGAATTAGATTACTCTAGAATCCTAAGTCTAATCAAAGAGATAATAGATTTTTATTTGTATTAAAAATCTATGAAATATGTATAACTATTTAATTGTGAACCCAATAACTAAAGGATCTATGAGTTCGATAGTTAATTCAACAATAATAACCCAGTAAAATTTTACAAGTGGGGTTTGGGGAGGATAATGAGTACGCAAACCTTACCCCTACCTCGAGGAAGTAGAGAGACAGTTTCCAAAAGACCCTCGGCTCAAGAAGACGAAAATAAATAAACACATCAGTACCATAAACTGAAAATAAGAAACAATAACATCGACATAAGAACAAAAAAATAGATAAAAAGCAATAACAATAACAAGAAAATAAGGTCCTATATTATTTGAAAACGGACGAATAGTGTGAACACAATATTAACCACTAGCAATCTAAGACAAACTCTATCAGGCTAGCCTCACATCCAGTACGAAATAGAAATTGCTCAATTACTTCCTAACCTACAATCCTAATGTTCGACCTCCACACTTTCCTATCAAGGGCCATGTCATCGGAAATCTAAAGCCACACCATGTCCTACATCTTAGCTTTGCCTCTCCTTGAGTTCGATAGTTAATTCAAAACCCATAAACTTTATATCTTAGCTTTGCCTTGAATTGGAGACACAAATTATGGTTTAAAGTTAATAGCTTATATCTATTGACTAAAATAAGACCTTAATTAACCATGGTTAGAATAACAAATTCCCTCCTATATCCAAAAATCCCATATTCCTCCCTCTTCCCGCCAAAATACATCTGCTCTCAAAAGTTTGAAAACACCGAAAATCATTTCACCAGATAAAGTCTTTCAGAGTTTTAACATGGAAATCAAGTTTCTGAAGATCATTGTTAGATTAAAAATCAATAGAATTGAATACAAGAAGTGGAAAAAAACAGAGAACAAAACAGCAAGTCGTGGAGCTCCATTTTCGCTCGAAAAATACTAACAAATTCTCACCAGGTTCTTCTTTATCCGTTTCGATTCTTTAGAAATAAGATGCTTTTTGTTTGTGCATTTTCTTGTTGTGGAAATTTTCACGTAGAAAATTGCATACAATGTGTTTGTGGAATTTCCTAACTGAATTATTCTGTTCTTTGCATTACATAGATTTTAACAGGAAAACTAGTAACTTAAAAAGTTTCTCATCTTAACTTACAAAATTAAAAATAGTTTTGAATATATTATGAGTCGAGGTTAATAGATCGTCAAACTAATATATTGTTATGCAATCTTCTCTTCCTGAATACAATGTGCTTGTGAAATTTACTAACTGAACTTTTTGGTGTGGAAAGAATTCACTTTGATTTTTGAATTTCCTAACTGAACTTTTTGGTGTGGACTTTCCTAGCTGAGCTATTCTGTTCTTTACAAAATTTAAATCAGATTTGAATATCTTATTGAGTCAAGGTTAATAGATCGTCAAACTAATAGTATATTGTTTTGCAATCGTAATTCCTTTATAAGTCGAGTGTAAGCAAAAGCATCTAGAAAGTAAGTACTGAATCGTGACACGCGTCATACGTTATCCTTTTTAATGGTAGATTTATGGAGATACTGTCTCAAAATGAACATATGGATGTTTCTCGTTCATTTGAGCCGATAAAACTTGCGATGAAATTTGATTCGGATGAATATGCATATGAATATTACAATGAATATGCTGCTACAATTGGGTTTAATGTTAGAAAGGAATATGCTAACAAAAGAAAAGTTCATGGATATGTGACTTCAAGAAAATTTACATGTTATAAAGAAGGTTATAGTGGAATAGACAAGCCAGATGTGATGGTCAAGAAACCTAGAAAGGAAACTAGGACGGGCTGTTTAGCTCACATGGTCGTAAGTCGTCAATCAAACGGGAAGTTTTCCGTCATTTCATTTGAAGAGAAGCACAAGAATCCTCTCGTTCCTTCATCTCTAATTCACATGTTACCATCGCAAAGAAATATTAAGCTTTCTCAAGCATTGATTTATTGGATGAATTGGGAATATGTCCTAAATCTTCTTTTGACTATGCTGCTCGTCAAGCTGGGGAAAAAGCTTCTTTAGGTTATACAAAAAGGGATCACAAAAACTATCTTCGTGATAAAAACTCCTGTGGACGCCCTAAAGTTTAAGTTACTGTGATAGGTAGCTTCTGTTGAATTTTCTATTTCTACCTCAAAAAATGGTAATATATCCTACAAATCGACAAAATTTAGGAACATAAGGAAAAAAAAGTGAAAGAAAGATGAGGTATTCCAAATAAAATTTTACAGCACGCAATAGTACAAGGTCAAATCTAAAAAGAAAGGTCAAGTCATTATCACTCAGTTAAAAACAAATCTGTAATATAAATAAAAAGCAAAATCTTTTTCACCTCACAATGAAGTGAAATAATTATAATTACACACTTGGTCGAAAAATAAATAATTTGAAACTTACAGCAAACAAGCTTAGACAATACAAAGAAAAAGGAAATTAAAGCAACAAATACATAGAAAATAAAGGAGGGGAAAAAACTGCATTAGCATCACAAAGTCAACCTCCAAAATCCATTTGAGGCTATTCATTCCCTGTTCATTCTTCAGTTATAGTTTCCTGTGATGCTTCCTCCAGGGATTTTCCTTTGGACTCTGGCACACAGAAGGTACAAATCATTCCCAGAGCATTGATGGCCCCTAGGGCAATGAGCGAGTTCTTTATGCCGATACCCGTTGGGTATCCTGCATCGGTTTTCGTTGGATCTTTGCTTTGTGCAGCGTATAGGAACCCGTACGCTCCTACAATAGCTCCAGCTTTACCTGCAGCTGCAGAAATACCATGACATGTTGATCGAAGTCTGGCCGGGAAAATCTCAGCCGGGACCACGAATGTGGTTGCGTTTGGCCCAAAGTTCGCGAAGAAGAATGTGAGGGCGTACATTGCAACGAACCCAATATGGTTGTCCTTCTTTGTCCAATGATCGTAGGGAATGGCAATGGCGAACATGAATACAGTCATGAAGAAGAACCCCATCAGTTGGATCGCGAACCTTCCAACGATATCGATGAACGCCACAGTGAACCAGTACCCTGGCACTGTACTAAGTAGTGCAATCAAGGTTTGTGCTCTTGCAATCTTGTAAACTTCTTGAACGGCATTCATGGTTTTGGCCGCTGGGATCCATCCAATTGCACTGAACANAAATGTAAAAGTTAGACCCATTGGTTATCCATTTTCTAAATGGATAATATGGTTCTTATCCATTTTGACCCGTTTTTAAAAAGTTCATTATCCAACCCATTTTTTAGTGGATAATATGAGTGGTTAAATGTTTTCTTTTAATCATTTTGCCACCCCTAGCAAGAATTGAAGAAGCAGCGGCCGGTTTGAGGGGGGGGGGGGGGGGTGGGGGGAAGAGGGGTTGGTGGGAATTTGAAGGAGGATGTTCGTGTTGGGAAAAGAGAAAAAGGAAGAACATAAATTTTAGGAGTTTCATGCGCTCAAATTTGAGTGAGAAACACTCATTTTACCATGTCAGCTCGGGGTATACACGAGACACACCTATGTTAACATTGAGTGTGTTTGATCATTGCGTAAGTTTAAGTGTCAAACTAACAGTTGGGACCAAGGTTGAGTGTCTGTCTATTTTGTCTTTCGAAAATATATACTTCAAATATATTCAAAATTAAAGAAAATGTAAGAAAAATTGTAAAAACATCAATACCATATTTTCATGAGTCTTAACTTGTTAGCGTTCAGTTTGAAAGTATGACACACACGTTGTTGAAAGAATCTTAAAAAATTCAGCAAACAAGAATTACAATACAAAGAAAAAGACAGCAACAGATACATAGAAATACATAGAAAAGAAATGGAAAAAAAGAACACAAAAAGACTGCATCAATCACACAATAGAATCACAACTCAACTTTCTCCAGGTATAGTTTCCTGTGATGCTTCCTCCAGGGATTTTCCTTTGGACTCTGGCACACAGAAGGTACAAATCATTCCCAGAGCATTGATGGCCCCTAGGGCAATGAGCGAGTTCTTTATGCCGATACCCGTTGGGTATCCTGCATCGGTTTTCGTTGGATCTTTGCTTTGTGCAGCGTATAGGAACCCGTACGCTCCTACAATAGCTCCAGCTTTACCTGCAGCTGCAGAAATACCATGACATGTTGATCGAAGTCTGGCCGGGAAAATCTCAGCCGGGACCACGAATGTGGTTGCGTTTGGCCCAAAGTTCGCGAAGAAGAATGTGAGGGCGTACATTGCAACGAACCCAATATGGTTGTCCTTCTTTGTCCAATGATCGTAGGGAATGGCAATGGCGAACATGAATACAGTCATGAAGAAGAACCCCATCAGTTGGATCGCGAACCTTCCAACGATATCGATGAACGCCACAGTGAACCAGTACCCTGGCACTGTACTAAGTAGTGCAATCAAGGTTTGTGCTCTTGCAATCTTGTAAACTTCTTGAACGGCATTCATGGTTTTGGCCGCTGGGATCCATCCAATTGCACTGAACACATCTTTCTGGAAAAGATTTTGGCTATAGAAAGCGATGTCCAACAAAAACCATGTGGAACATGTGCCGAATAGGTGCAGCCCGTGGCGACGAACGAATTCCCAAGAAAATAGACCAAAGTTATTGGTTTCGTCCCTAGACATCTGTTCGATTTTTGCATCCTCGGGATCAATTTCAACTTGTAGTACCCTCCCCATGTCCTGTGCGGCTCTTTTTGCGTCTTTCGCCACGAGAGCTGTGTATCGGGCTGTTTCGGGCATCTTCATGCGCCAGTAGTAAGTGAGGAAAGCTGGTAAAGCTCCGAACATGAGAATTATACGCCAAATGTAGTCGGCTTGTGGCACGGTGGAAAGAGCTGCATTTTCTTGGAAACTTGGGACATTATAAGCATGATCAAATCCAGCTGACACAATAAGTGCAATTATCCCACTGAACAAAATTCCAAAACCTTGCATAGCGAAGACAGCAGCAATGAAGGCGCCACGGGTTTTCTTGTTTGCATATTCGGACATAATCGTGGCGGATAAAGGGTAATCGCCACCGATGCCAAATCCAAGCCAAAACCTGAAGAAACAGAGAGTGGCCATAACACCCTTAGGAGTACTCCCAAAGGAGAGCCCTGATGCAACGGAGCACAAAACCATGATAATCAAAGTCATACCATAGACCGTTTTTCGGCCCATCTTGTCACCGAGCCAGCCGAAGAAAAGCTGGCCAGCTAGGGTGCCGACCAGGGCGACACCCGTGACCGACGCTGAGACGGTCGGAGGGAGTGTTCCGGGCTTCAATAAATCTGGCTTGGTGTAGTATAAACGCCCAAGTAATTTGGTTACAAGTGAAATGCTGAAGAGATCATAGGCATCAGTGAAAAATCCCATTCCAGCAATAACAATTGTGGTGAAATGGTAGAGTTGAGTCTTGGCCACATCAAGTGCATTAAGCACTTGTAGATTGTTTTCTCCAGTCATGGCTAAAGTTGCTTCTTGTTCTAACAGTTCAAGATTATCTGCATTTTAAGACACAACTTTAATTGAATAAATTGAATTAACCATAAAAAAAAGAATTTCTTTGTATAATCTTGACTCTTTTAGACTTAAAACATCACACTTACTGCAACTTTGTTTTGAGTCAATGTATTTTAGGTAGATAAATAATACTTGGATTCAAAGTTGATTTTAGCTACTATGTATCTTTTCGAAGTTATCAATGAAAATAGCAACACTTAAATAACAGAAACAAGAGAAACCAAATGCATGGTAAAATTACTACAGGCTAGCATAGTCCATTTTTACAGCTTAAAGGGCAGCCCGATGCACTAAGCTTCTGCTATGTGTGGGGTCCGGGGAAAGGCCGGACCACTAGGATCTATTATACGTAGCCTAACCCTACATTTCTGCAAGAGGCTGTTTCCACGACTCAATTTTTACAGCGTAAGCTGTAGTAATGAGGATGCAGAGTATTGAAATGCAGGGGAAATCTAGAGGCTTGATTACGAATTCGCATGAACCCAGTAGGGCGATTGTCTATTGCATGTGATATTTAGGGAAAAAACAACAACATACTCAGTATTATCCCACACCGTGGGGTCTGGGGAAGGTAGTGTGTAAGCAGACCTTACCCCTACCTTGTGAGGATAGAGAGGTTGTTTCCAATAGACCCTCGGCTCAGGATATTTAGGGAAAAAAAGTAAAGCAAAAAAACAGGAAAATCCTAATGCCAAATCAAAAATGCAAAACTACTTAAGTTTCTTTGATTGGAAATTACCTTCTTCAGAAGATTGTACACCTTCTGAATTTAGGAGAGAACTGATAGAATAGAGATATGAATTGATGATTAAGCTTTGGTAAATACCAACTATTTATAAGAGTAATCTCACTAATACTTTTTCAGATTAAACAGAATCATCTCCAGAATATAATGAGCATATACCTTTGTATCATGTCAACAAGCTTACTACTTTAAGTTATGGATTGATAGTCATAACTAAATTTGCATTTTTCTCATTTAAGTATATGGTTTTTGAAGCTGTCTGTGATAAGCTGGCAAGTTGTTAATTATCATCTGAAATTAATGCACACCATTATCTTTATGTTAGGCATAGTCTTCTGATATTGTATATATGAAGTCAACCAAATCTCAGCCGACTTATTTTCTTTTTCCGTACCTTTTTTCATTTCTATATTCTGTTTTTGTACATATTGTTAGAAAATTTCTGATAGAGGCGGAAAAGAGACAAGAATATAGAAAATAGAAGGAAGATGAAGAAGAAGGCTTGAGCGTGATATGATTACTGTCTCAAAAGAGTGATCGTCTGTCCATTGGGTCAGAAGCGGAGCTAAAATTTGAAATTTATGGGTTCTGAATTCGTCGCCGAACCCATAACTTGTCTTAGCTATTGGGTTCACAGTTAAATATTTATACATATTTTATACATTTTTCTAATACAAATACTGGGTTTAAGCAAAAGCTATTGGGTTCGTCAAACCCATAGTTACTGCTCTCCCTCCGCCCCTGTTAATGGGGTTAGCAGACAATGCTCACAATGCTCTTCTGGGAATACAACAAGCTAAGCCTGTTACCAATTATTTCTCTCGCATACCTCAAAATAATTCTTGAAATCATATTTTACTCAAGGTACTTGAAAATTAATTCTTTTAGTAAATCTATTTTAACTCATGTTACCTGAGAATATACTATCATTTCACTCCAATATTACGAACTCTATGACACCTCTTCCTTTGGCTAAAGTTTACTTTATTCAAGGTCTCATGTTGGTTTCGAGATGGATAATTCGTCTCGTTATTATAATTTTGGACAACCTCACTTCAAAAGTTAGCTTCTGTATTCAGTTAGGTCTAAGGTCCATTTCTTAATATGGTCCACGCTCTAGAGGTCCAGTCCTAAGCGTCAGGATGCCGGTGTTAAAAGTCCCACGGATCGATTGTGTGACACATAATTGTTCTTCTTATATATATGGTGTTAGACAATCTTCACTTCACAACTTTTGGGGTTGAGTTAGACCAACGTAATTCCATATGTGCTATTGCAATTTTTTTTGTACACAAAATGATCCTATAGGCTACAACAACGATCTGCACATTTTCTGCAAAACTCTGGCATATAGATTACAAATAATTCACAAGATTTGTGCCTTGATATTCGTATATACTTCGATATTTATTCTACAATGGACAATGGCCTTGAGTTTACTAGCAACAAGGCATCGTTTACTTCTTTGATTAAGATTACCAGGATAGACGACTTATATTATTTTATCTTATTTCCAACTGTTCAATCACTTTCTTTGCAAGTATTTTATAATTTATAACCAAAGTCAGATACTTGAAGCAATTGGGGTAATTGACAATTTGTTGATATTTGCATTGGCTTGCGTAGCTAGCCTTTGCATGTCGAGAGAGTGACATCACAGGCGGACCCACACTATAGGGATAGGGGTATACATGTTAATCGGGCCGGGCTGACCCGTTTTCAGCCCGCTTCAACCCGGGGCAGCCCGGTTCAGCCCGCTACTGTAGCATATAGGGCGGGCTGGGACGGGTTGGACGGGGAGCGAGTTTTAGACGAACACATTTTGGATACCGGTGCACCGAAACCTGCTAAGCCCGCTAACCCGTTAACGGGTTGTTAACGGGCTGCAGCCCGGTTCAGCCCGTTAATGGGTTAAATTTTTATTTTTTTTTAATTTGTGTACCATTGCTAACAAAATTTAATTAAAAAAAAAAAATTTAGCACAGCCCGCCCGAGCCCGTTTAAGCCCGAACCTGTACGGGCCCACAAAAACCCGCAAAAACACAACCCACTAACAGCCCGCTATCCCCAACCCGCTAATCGAACGGGCTGGGGTTTTTCCCGTTCAGCCCGTCCCAGCCCGCCCGATAAACACCTATAGATAGGGGTCACCAGCCCCCGGAAATTTCGGTAAAAACCCTATGTATACTTGCAAATATCTTTAAGAAATAGTCAAATATTAGTATAGCCTCCCGTATCCATCTTTATGAGCAGTAATAAATTTATATTGAATGTTATGGTGTCCCCGCGACTGCTGAATCCTGGTCCGATCTGAGTGACATTGAGAATATCTCACAATTTTGGGCATCTACTCCATCTGATTCAAATAAGTATCGTTTAAGATTTTGACATACCCTTTAAGAAAACTACCAAACAATTTGAAACAAACTGTTTCAAATTAAAGATACGTACCAAACCATGTAACTTTAAACCCTAGTTCAGTTAACTCAAGTGAATTAATTAAACTCAAAGAAAGGGAATCCCTATGCGTTTTACTCTGTTTCAGCTCCGTTTTGTCAAACCAAAAAAGAACAATTTCTCACAAAAGCTTCACTTTGCTTCTAACTTCTACTATGTGTTAGCTTCTTTCTTGATAAGATTTGATTAATTTTATTTTTCCTATGCTTTTCGATATTTTCTCCTTTCTCTACATGTATACATAGAGGTAGCACGCAGGGGCTGATTCAGGGGGAAGGAAGGGTGTTCACCCGAACCCCGTTCGCCGAAAAATTATACGGTATATATAAGGCAAAATTTGTCTTTTACTTTTATATATTATGTTTTGAATCCCCTTGATACAGCCCAAAAGCATAGCTTAGTGGTCAACGGGATTCAAAACTTTTGTAAGGTCATTGGTTCTATTCCCACTAGCTATAACCTTTTTAACTTTTTTTTTTGAACCCCCTTCGCAGTAATCCTGCCTTCGCCACTGGTGGCATGTATGATGATCCATAGTTTTCTTTTTCTTCTTGAAGCACGACGAATCGTTACAGCAACTCTTTCTCTTTCTGCTTCTCTTGAGTTAACGGGGACGGATCTAGAGGGTCGGCTAAGAGTTCACGTGATTTCAGTAATCTTTGCCAAACCTTGTATATATAGTTAGAATTTCATTAAATACTTGATTCAACTATTATTATGAATATTTGATTATGAATTTAATTATTATTATTATAGTGTTAACTTGAGATCTGTGTGAAATCCATAAACTTTAAATCACAAATTCGTCTTGAGTATTTGGGAAGGGGGGGGGGGGGGTTCTTTTTTTGGTTTTGCAATACTATAACCAAAGGGTGACTGATAATCTATATAGAAAAGAAAAGAAGTTCTGGGAGGTTAGTAATGGTGGGAAAATATGAATTTGACACAATGGAGAAAGAGGAAAACACGTGTCTTTAATCTCTAGAAAAAAGAAAAAAAAAAGAATACTAAATTTGTTGTTCCTTATTATTTTAGATACTAATGCAAATATAATTTTAAACAAATCAGCTAGTGCTTTCCACTTATGCTCGTACGGCTTTTTGAAAAGAACATTTTCTCTTCTTTATTTCCCTTCCTTTTTTATTCACTAACCAAATAAAGGGAGATAGATATCCAAAAAATTTTATATGTGCAAATTGTTTTATATACTCTATATGAAAAGGTGAACCAATTTTGTAAGTTATCTTCTCATTCAAAAAATAAAATAGAGACAAACAAAAGTCAGCTATCTATAACATACATCAGTATCACTTGAAGTATATGACGTGAGTGCAAGAAACGTTGGTTCTATTAGAATATCTTTCGTTAAGTTTTTAATTACACTAGCATCCATTATTGACATTTTGAAATGGCAAAATATAAAGACAAGTCAGGGCCGGAGAAGGGCAGAGTTGCTCTTTGGAGAGTACAGTATGATGGAAGTTGTAAGATGTATTCGGGAAAGTTATTATATATCGTTGACACTTAAACTTAGCCTCAATCGTTAGTTTGACATTTAAACTTACCCAATGATCAAGTAGACACTTCAACTTGACGCAAGTTATATCTCGTGGAGAGGATAAGGAAATGAAGAAATGAATGCTACGGAAGGAAATAAGGACTTTGCAAGAATTAGGAGTGGCAAATGGGTGGGTCGGGTCGGATATGGTTCGGGTCGGAAACGGGTAATGAAAACCGGGTAAATTATCCGACCCGACCTATATTTAATACGGATAAAAAAACGGGTTGACCGGCGGATATATAATATGGGTAACCATATTATCCATGACGTCTTGCATATGATCACTTTTGGGAGAATTCTTAGTTTCCCTAACTTGAGAAACCCTTAATTTGAGGTTTTACAAATGTAAAAGTTAGACCCATTGGTTATCCATTTTCTAAATGGATAATATGGTTCTTATCCATTTTGACCCGTTTTTAAAAAGTTCATTATCCAACCCATTTTTTAGTGGATAATATGAGTGGTTAAATGTTTTCTTTTAATCATTTTGCCACCCCTAGCAAGAATTGAAGAAGCAGCGGC